GTATAAACTTGCGTACGACTCATACAATCATCATAATAAAATTTTTTCATTATTTTTTTTTTCAAGTTTCACACAAAATTTTATATTTGGTCTTTGTTCCATTTTATTTTTGAACCATAAGCACACTTTTGGTTTTATTGAAATGGCTGTCACTGGCTCTGTCATCCGACTTACAGGATGTTAGGTGCGTTTGAAAGAGGATGAATGTATCTTTTTAATGTTGCAAATTTTCAATAGATGGCGCTGTATGTTGTATGATTTAAATATAAAGTTCGGTTATTTTTGGAACACACCGTGTATATGTACATATATGCATATGCAAATCAGTCCGTCAAAATAAAATAACAGCGAAAATTTTGTTTGGGGTTTCCTCATTTAAGCTCTGTTTCAGATAGAATATCGTAAATTGAATGAGTTATTTATTGATAATTAATTTATTAATTCAGTTATAAAGTGAGTAGGATATCTCCAGCTGCCTTACATTATCGTTTTGTAGGTGTTTTTCATAATAGCCACTCGGCTACAATCGCATAATGCAAAGTAAGTTGAAGCCCGTGTTAAGAGTTCCGTCTCAATTGGATTTCCTGCCCGATCGAATTATCACTCGGTTTCCACGCCAGCCGATCTTGAGAGCGTGCTAAACTATTACCATACAGACTTATTCACGTTTAAGTGTTTGTGTTTACCTAATCAAGTGGTGAACTCCTCACCTATCCAATATTGGTTCAACATTATTTTCAGAGTAATGTAACTAGTGGCATAAATATAATAGTTAGGGAGATTTGAGCATTATTATGGAAACCGTTTCATTAACATATCTCGGCGAATACATACGCATACATATGGGTGCAAAAATTAAAAAAAAAATAATAATAATAATATTTTATTTTTTTTTATAGCAACTATTGGGTGTTCAGTGCCCGTTAACTCTGTATTGATTGTCAAGTGAAATTAATTCATGTCATCAATGCAAACGAAGGAGAGGCTCTGAGTCCATGCTGTATGGATAGATTAGAGCCAGAGGAATAGAGTGATTGAAGTGTTGATGTAATGCACGATACAAAAAGTGGTTAGTCGGAGAACTTATAATAACGAGAAGTTGCAAATTTGTTGCAACATCGAACCTGCTTCAAAAAATTTCTGAACAATTTTTGAGAAAGGTATTCACCATACTTTATATAACAGCCACTGAAAAGAGAGCAATTGATCGCTGAAAACAGAGAAATCGATTTTAATAGCTTTCTTTAACTTAATGTAAAATCTTTGCTAAATATAAATTTAAATATGTATTGTACTTAGCATTTTTAATATCTACTGTGTTACTTAAAAAATTGAGAGCAAAAAATAAAAACTACGAAAAAAATATAAATAAAAAATTTTAAAAATTTAAAAAAAAATATTAAAAAAATAAATAAATAATATTTTTAAATTCATTAAATATATTAAAATGTATTTAAAAAATAGTAAAGTATAAGCAGTAAATATATTTATTTGATAAAAAAATTCTGTTGATCTTATGAATGACTGAAATTACAATTGCACTTATTCCTCATAGTTCATATGCCCAACTAAATATGGTCATACACACAAGTCATTCTTTAGAATAATTTTTGCGATTTCATCAAGACTGTTGTCAGCGATCTAAAATAATACCAATTATGCCAACGAAACTTCAGAGTGATCAGTGGCACACTGGTTTGCGTCGAGTGATTTTTGTCCAAGCTGCGTGGGTTCAAAACCTTTTCTCTATTCTTTTTCGCGTTTTATTTTTTGAAATTGACAAATTTAAATTGTCACCAAGGAATCGCTTGCTGATTCGAGGTGCGAGGGAAAAGAAGTTCACATACTTTTGTTTCACGAGATTTTCTGGCTCGGTAGAAACTTCAATCGAGCATCGAGCCAAAAGTCTATAAGTTCGCTGGTTAGTGTTCTTTCATATCGTAGTTGTTGGCTATAATGTTTGTATTGAAAGCTTTATTAGTCGATTGAGACTTCTAAAGTCAACAGAATGTGTCAGATAAGCTGCCACTGGGCATCGCAATTATAAAATTAAAATATTTTTGCATAATTTTAGTTGTTGGTCGGGTCAGGATTCGAATCCACGCTCTTCCGCATGATAATACGTACTGCTAACAACTTAGTCGTGAAGAAAGTTGATTCAGATATTAATCAACTTCGCATTGATCATTCCTCTACAAGTGTCCTTCGACACTTGACTGATTTGCGGTTTCATTATTAATTTAATTTGAAATTTAGAAAATATAATCTCTCTCCAAATTGGTCGCAATTTACTCCCGTTTTTCTATATTTCCTAAATACAACCTCAGGCTAAGAGAGTCGGCAAAACAAACTATCACTTTGAATAACACCTTGTCTTATTACCTGATGCATGATGCCATCCACCGTAGTTCTGTGCGTTTTCCTCTCGCTCTGCTTAATATTTCTGATCCAATGCCATTCTACCCTTCCCATTGAATGTTTATAAATCTGAAATCACTTGTTTTCCGACGATCTATGTAGTCTTTCCATTTATGACATCATCAATTGACTGCCCCAAGGTTTTTGATGAAATGAGCTTTAATTTTCCGCATAGAATTTCGCCTTCTCATTCTCCATTTTATATTATTTATCGTATATAGATGAATCTAAAGTGAATTACGGCAACTATGATGTGCTATTAAGAGTTCTGACTTCGATAGAATCTCTAGGAAGTTTGATTTAGATTTCGCATTCCCGAGAACAAGTTTTGGCTCTATTCATCAATCTTTCTATCCATAATTCTTATAGCTTTTACTATATTTTAATATATAATATAATCACTAGCTTCGATAATTTGAACCTAAGTGTGCTCTGCCCAATCCATTAAAAAAGCGATGCCTCAGTCTGGGCCAAATACCAATATTATCCCATATCTCAAATAACGTCCTACCAAGAGTATTGTGTGAAATACTAAAGCCCACCGTCAACAAACTGCTTGGAACTTATCAGTGTGACTTTAGACCTGGTAAATCAACCAAATATTTGAAAATACCAGTTAAAAGAGGATCGATTCACACGATCTCTTCTTCGACTTTAAAGCAGCCTTCGACAACACGAAAAAAGGCTGCTTATACGCCGCTCTGTCTTAATTTGGAATCCCTGCAAAACGGCTATGTAAACTGACGTTAAGCAAAACTAACTAAAACCTACATCAAAACCAGGAAGGATCGCTCCGAGCCGTTCGATACCGAACGGGTTTTCAGACAGCGTAGTGCTGAATAGGGATGGTACAATCTTCTATAAGAATACACAGCTGATATTGACTTTATTTATCTCAATAACCACGCCGTGAGTTCAGCTGAAGAACTTGATAACGAAGCTAAGGATATGGTCTGGTAACGAATATATATATAAAAATATCTCCTGTGTTCGCGACTCAGCTCCCACGTCAGTGTTGACAGTCATTACTTTGAAGTCGAAGAAATTTTCGTCTGCCATGGAGCCTTTATTAACACCAACACAATGCCAGTTTGGAAATATACCGCCGAATCACTCTTGACAACCTTAACTCTTTTGAACGGAGGAGCCAATTGAATAAAAGTCCCTTCCCGACGAACGAAGACCAAACTCTATAAGTCGCTTATCGCTGTCATTTTGCTATATGGCGCGGAAGCATCTGATGAGACGGCGTTAGAAGTTTTCGAGAAGTCTTTCGGAAGAATTATGGTCCGCTACGAGCTGGGAATGGCGTATACCGCAACCGGAGCGATGTGCTATATGAGATATGCGGCGACATTGGAATAGTTCAGCGAATCAACAATGGCAGCGCTGGTTAGGTTAGGTGCTCTGGATGTATAAGAATATTCCAGCTTTATAAGTTTTTGATACAGTATCCGTCGGTTGAAGTAGAGGAAGAGGAGGACCTAAACTCCGTTGGAAAGAACTGGCTATACTTTGTATTTCCAATTGGTGCCAAACAGCTAAAAGAAGAAATGGGACGCGTAGTGTTGTCAATTCCGCTATAACCGCTAGTCCAGAAGAAGAAGTAGCTTGGACAACTATTCTCTGTAAGATTACAAAAACCATAAACGCAATAAATAAAAGATATGAAAATTAAATTCAGACATCTCTATATAGAAGATCTCAAAATAACTAGAGCGTCCAGCCCCCGTGCTTACGAAGTAACTGCCATCTATCCAGCTCATGGAGAATGGAAATGCTTCATCTAACGCTTAGTTTGCATTGGAACCGACTTGAACAAATTTTGAAGAGATTGACCGATTGGTCCAAATCATTTGCAATGGCAGCTTAATTCGGCCCTTTTAAGGGACAAGAGCACTAACTAATCAAAGTTTTAAACAACCCAACCATTTTGTTCTGGTAGAGTGATGAAATCCATTAATTCCATTCAGAATCTCCTTCCTTAGGGGTCGACAAAAATAGCCATTCAGCTGTTATCTTTAGATTTTGCACCCACGACTTAATATTGTCCGAAGTGCAGGATTAATTGCTTTAGTTGCCAAGCAGCTGGGATGTCAAAGACCGCTCGATGAAAACAACAAGTCCACAGCCGATACACATGTTACATGTCAAAAATAGCACTGCAGATTTCATGATCCCATGAAGCATAAAGAATGGCAGCCACGCACGTCTGAGCAGGTTAAATGGGTCTATTAGTGATAATGGCGCTTGCATAGGTGCAAAGCTGCACATACATACAAACATACACATGCACATACGATTGCAACTGCATTGCTTAGCCACATGCGGCTATTTTGCAGCTACACGACTTTGATGAAGAAAGCAATTCGCTACAGAGCGAGTGGTGATAAGAGCGACCAATCGCCAGTGAAAAGTTCATTGATTTGCACTTGTAAGTGATTCGAGGGTTAAACGAAACGAAACCGATGGAATTAATTACCAAAATATATTGCAAATTTACATTATACAGATAATGAAATGGACCAAGAGCCATTGATAATGCCCGTTTTGTAGGTATAAAAGTGGGCCTTGAACTGAAGTTCGGCACAGTTGTCTACCGGCTTCGATTGGTAGAGCACAGCGGATAGATCTCCTTTCAATTACTTATTAAAAGTATTTAGTATTCTTGCAAAAAACTCATAGAAAATAATGAAGACGTTTGTGATCTTGTTAAGCTGCTTGGTGTGTTGCACCATCGCAGGACGCCACGGTTTATCGCAGAAACTCTTTGGAAAATCACGTTATTACGGACAACAGGGTGCGTCTATTGGTGGATCGACACCGCCCGTCATTGGTGTTGGCAGTGCTAATAAGATAACTAATTTTTCAGAACAAGGCTATGCAGCTGCGGGCACTAGTGAACGTCAACAATTCCTGCTTGATGTCCTGTTGCAGGTGCAGAAGCCTTTGGTCAACCAGCAGCTCATTCAACTAGGCGAAGTGCTCGTGACAGATGCCAGCAGCTATTTTTCGGTGAGTTATCGACAAATTGACGCTTTCAAGGACGAGCGTTTTCTAAAACTCTTAAGAAAATTTGTGTATTCCTTTAGCCAAACGACGTCATACTGCAGCAGTTTTTACAACAAGCCAGCGATCGGGAGATTATTGGACGCAACGGTGTTTACAACCCCGTCGATTTGTCGAATATCCGACAATTGGTTGGACTAACACGCTTCTTCGTGCTTGCCCGCAACTATAATGTCTTCCAAAGGAATGTTGTCTATGCCCGTCTGTACTTCAATCCAGTTATGTTTGTCGATGCACTCGCTCTGGCCATACGTGAGCGTCCGGACACGCAGGACCTCGTTATGCCACCAATGAATGAGATCTTGCCACAACTGTACTATGACAATTACGTCTTGAGCTCTGCCCAAAATGTCGACTACAACCAATTGATTGATGAGGCAACCCGCATTAACATCAAGCCCAGCTTATTCGACATCTTTGGCTTGCGCAAGATTGGCGCATTGTTCCAATACGGTAAATATGCTCACTACAATCCAACACAACAGCGTTACATCCCACAGAGATTTGGCGGTTATGCCCAGGACTACCTCGGCAGTGAGATACAGGCGAAAATTGTGTTGCCAGTTGAGGAGAGAAATGGCAATGAATTAACTGATGACGTTGATCTCAACGTGGCATGGAACAATCTTATTATTGATCAGTTGGCACAGACCGTCATCGAAGACATCCAAGGAGGACAACAGAGTGGTCAACAGTACTACCAAGGCCAACAAGGTAGTCAGCAATACTACCAAGGTCAAGGCGGTCAAAAATACTACCAAGGACAACAAGGCGGCCAGCAATACTATCAAGGCCAAGGCAGTCAAAAATACTACCAAGGACAACAAGGCGGTGAGCAATACTACCAAGGACAAGGCAGTCAGAAATACTACCAAGGACAAGCCGGTCAGCAGTACTACCAAGGCCAAGGCAGTCAGCAATACTACCAAGGACAAGGCGGTCAAAAATACTACCAAGGACAACAAGGCAGTCAGCAATACTACCAAGGACAACAGAGAGGTCAGCAATACTACCAAGGACAACAAGGCAGTCAGCAATACTACCAAGGACAACAGAGTGGTCAGCAAGGTGGACAATACTACCCATATGGCTCGTATTATGGTGAACAATCCGAAGGTCGGTTGCCTATGACAAAATCAAAATAAGATCGGCACTTAAACTCATCGTTTTGTTGCATTTTCAGGTATCAAACAAGGCTTAGGAAGTTCGGAACAATTACCACAAGTTGATGTAGACAGTCCACGTCTATTGCATGTCGGTCGTCGTCATCGTGGTGACTCACAAAGTGCTGGATATTCATATTATGTTAATCCTTTCTACGGTTACATCAATAGACCTTACGGTCTTCAAGGCAATCAGAAATATGCTAGCGGTTATTATGGTCAAGGCTACTTATACAGCCCTCAAGAATATCAACAATCGCAGTATGGCTACAAGAATCAGGGATACTCTTACGGTGGTCAGCAGAATCAGGGTTCACAATATGGTTACAAAGATCAAGAGTACTACTACGGTCCTCAGGAATATCAGTATGGCCAATATGGCAACATGGATCAAGGATACTATTACGGTCGTCAGCAGAATCAAGGATCTCAATACGGTCCATACGGCTACAAGAATCAAGGATACTATTATGGTCGCTATTATGGCCGTCAACAAGATCAAGGCGCTCAGTATGGTGATAACAAATACCAATCGGGTCAATACTATGGACAGAAATCTGCTTCCTACTATGGCAAGCCATACGGTGAACAATCGCAATATGGTTACGATCAACAACAGTACTCTTATGGTCAAAATCAAGGATCCCAATACGGTTACAACGGCCAGGCATATAGCTCTGCTTATGTAAACCCATACAGCGGACAACAATATTATTATAAGAATGGCGAATACGGTTATGGACCACAAAGCCAGGGTCAACAGCAATCTTACCGTGCTTACCCATATGGACCGCAAGGGATTTACAACACCAAGGACTATGATGAAGTAATCGTGCTTGAACGTGTAGCTCGCGACAACCGTAACCGCGGAGAAGGCAGCCAGCGCTATCAAGGTGCCCAAGGAAAGCAAGGCAGCTACCGTTATACAGAACAATACCGCGAGTTGGAAGGTTTGCGCGAGGGCATCTTGAGCAATATCGGCGCTACACAACAGTTGAGCTATGCCCGACGTGGCGAGATACTCTTCCAGAGTATACAACAACTGGCGGCTAGACTGAATATTCAACGCATCACTGAGACCATCGAAGGAAACACCTCCGAGCAGTTGGAAAAGCAGCAACAATATCAACGTGTCCAACAGGAAATCCAACAAATGATTAGGCTATTGCGTACGCTCATCGAACAAGTGCGCGAGGAGGCAGGTATAAGCGCCGACAGCGAAGAAACTTTGTATGTCCTTTCTGGCATCATTAATGGTCGCATTATACTCGAACAACAACAACAATTATCGAACAGCGCCCAACGCACTTTGCAGGCCTTGCAACAACAAATACAGCGTATTGTCGAAAATCAAGTTGGCCCAATAAATGAGATGACTCCACTCGCTCTCCTCTACGGCAGCTTGCGTAACCCAGTAACACAGCAAGCCATCTTATCACTCGCTCAACTGATCGATGAATACCGTCAGCAATTGCAGCCCTACACCAGCTATCAATTGAGCAGCGGTGGCGATATTGCAGTTCAAAATGTACAGATCGAGCCTTTGGTCACCTACACCGAATACGTTGATGTCGATCTTGTCAACCTGATCGATCAGCAGCTGTTGCAGTCGAACGCCAACAATCTGCAACAACTTGGACAAAAGGTGGTAGCGCGCCAACAGCGCCTGAACTATGAACCCTTCACCATTGCCATGGATATTGAGTCACAACGTCAACAAGATGTTTCCGTACGCATTCTACTGGGTCCCCAAGTCGATTACACCGGTCGTCGCGTATCGTTGGCAAAAAATCAACGGAACTTCATTGTCCTTGATGCTTTCGTTCAGCAACTGCAGTCCGGCGTCAACAACATTCAGCGCAACTCACGCCAATTCAATGGCTACAGCAGCGATGTTACCACCATTAGTCAGATTTACCGTTACATCATGACCGGACAACAGCAAGGACAGCAACAACAACAGCAAGGAAACGGTGTCATCCGTCAGCTGCCACAGAATCTTCTGCTACCACGTGGCACCCAGACCAACGGTGGTTTACCAGTACAGGTAATGGTTGTGGTGACACCACTGACTCAGCAAGACTATTACTTGCGCGCTGAGAATGTGCTGGCCCAACAGATCAGCGGTTTGGGTATCGTTAGTGTTGGCGTCGACCAACTGCCATTGGGTTACCCATTGGATAGGCAAATTGTCGATGAGCAGCGTTTGAATGTGCCGAACATTCAAGTGGTCGAAACTGTCATCCGCTACGAAAGCCGCACAAAAGCTTGAGGTTCTTGTGGATTGGCGCTTTTGCCGATTTTGTTCTAATCAAACCACACTCACATTGCAACTTTGGAAATTACACATCTTACATAATTATATATATTTGTTTTTAATTAAAGTAAATCCATTTTGTATATACAAATAAAAGATTTTGTTATCCGATAATCAAATAAATAAAAATATATTAACGACAGGAAAAATGAACTTTTGCTTTCTTTCATTTATCCGGCCAAGGCCTTGAAGTGGCTTTGAAATCCACTTTTTGAACTTGTGCCACCTGTAAGGCAAACAAGTACGGCAACGTCTAAAGTAACTACAGCATTTTGAGAGCAGTGGAAGCGACTGTTTGAATAATCAGTCGTTGCCAGATGTCATTTTTTAACATAAAAATATTTTGGGCTTAAATAATTTTTTTCCCAAAATGTTGAATTTAGTTAATTCTTTTTTAATGTGATAATATCCAAATTTGGAAGATTAATAAATTATTTAATTGTGATGATTAGTAAAAAAATAAATATATTTTTATATTTGGTATTTTACAAATTATTGTTCTGTTATTGTGGCTACATGATTCGAAATCATGAGCACAAACAAATTTTCTATTTGGTTGTTTTAAAAGTACAGGGCTGTATTTTGACATCTGTTAAACTTAACTGTCATACCAAACAAGTTTCATTTTAGTTAAAAATCAGGCATTTAAGAAAATGAATCGCTTAACGTATCACGCGTTACAATTGTTAAAATCGCTCAATGCTCTCAAGAGCTGGGACTCTCTTTCGGCACAATAAGGCGTACTTTACACTTGGACTTACACCACCTACAGTATGTCAAACAATGTTGGCAAAGTGAAAAAACAAAATCACAAAAATCTCTTTTCAAATTTTATTTTATGAATGAAAGTTTTTCATTTTCCTTTTTTTTATACATTGGTTTTGTAAATCAGAGTATCCTTAACAAATATCACACGCAGAAATAACAAACATTAAAACCGAATGGTAAAAAAAAATTAATTCTTTGGGAAATGCCCACACAATTCAAAATAAAACGTAGATAACTTAACGGTATCACAAATTTGAAAACGAGTGAGAACGAGTAAAGAATTAATTATTGTAAATTATCTAATTGCGACCGTCCCTAGGCTGGGAATGTCAAGTCCTTCGAGTGCATTTATGACATAAAATAAAAAGCTCCTCGTAAAAACCATCAGCCGTTCGGAGGCGGATTAGTATAAACTGTAAGTCCCTCCATTTATTGGAAAAACAACAAGACGCAAAACCACAAATTAGAGGAGGAGCGCGGCCGAAAGTCGCTTCAGCGGTTACAAAGAGCTATTGTACATTACATATGACGGGAAAGAGTCTTGAAGAATAAATTAATTTTCTTTAAAAATTTCTTACGGTGTACTTCCTTTTTGCGAGAATTTCTAGTTTCCGTTGGCATAGTGTTGTTGCTTGTTACAGAAACGAAATGTGTGTTATTTATGCTAACATTGAGTTCCGCAATTAGTATTATAAATAACGAGATGATGTGTCATCTCTAATTAACTTAGGTCGTGAACTTATTAGCCGCCCTCGTACGTCGTCAATTGGGTACTTGACCAACAAGCAATGAAGAACGATTTTTCGACTAAAATTTTATTCAGTGCCATTTCTCACGCCATGAATCCTCAAATCATTGAAGAGAGGCGCGCACTATTTTCTAGAATTCATATGATTGGACTTCATTTTAGTGAAAACGACACGGCGAGACAGGGTCAATTTGAAGTGTTGTGTTGTGTCGTAGAATAAAAGAATTTTGCTTGGACTGCAATTGAAAAACACAATTTGCGAAACATTTTTCGAAAGAATTTCCACGGTGGTCCACGGTGGCGTATTCGCTCGTCTTGGCGATACCAGTTGGACACCGAGGTCGTGCGATTTGGCACCATTGGAAATTCTAGGCTGATAAACCTTTAACTCTTGAGCACTTCAAAACCAACATACGGCTCAAATACCGCCCGTCCAATATGTGCCGAAAATTCGCGAGGCGCTCATTTTAATGAAGAAGTATTTGACATATATGTAATTACTCGATTTCAAAATTTTTATGTACCGCCATTTGTGCTGTAAATTTTTGGAAGGTTAGGAGCATGAACCGATAGAACATCGTATTTGTAAAAGCAAATAAAGTTTGGATACTGATTTTTGAAGTGAAGTCAGCAGCAAATTTCTTCACTTTGATGGCATTGTTAATCTTCAAATTGCCACATTTGGAGAACAGAGAGTCCACAGAGAGTTTAACGAAAAGATAATCCATCCACCTATCCACCTCGTGTCACTGTTTGATGCGAATTTCGGACTGGAGGCATCGGTGAATTATAATTTTTAGAAAATGATGATATGGTCAAGCAATGACTGTTATTAGTGCTCGATATCCCGATATGTTAAAACAATTCTTTCTATCTATGGGGTTTAAGCTAGATGGTGTCGCATACTTACAGCTCGTGAAACAATTAATTACTACATGAGATATTTCCCAGCTGCGTCCCCTCTCGTATCGGTGTTTAGAATTGGCACCCCAGTTCCCTTGACTTTACACTTTAGATTTCTTTTTAGGTATATATATTTGCAACCGAAGGTCTATTGATCCACAACCAGGCGAGACATTGTGACCAGATGGGATATTTAGAGCCAAATGGTTTATCTTAGCCTGCGACGCTAAGATTTTATTCATTAGCAATACGTAACTAACTTGACTACATGCTGTTTTTTTTGTAAAATTATTTAAAATTTTCCATGCAACTGAGCAGACTTCTGGTGAAAAAAGCAAGACGTCGTTCAAAGCTGCCATGAAGGAACAAGAAGATCAGATCACTTTGGCAAAGTGTTAGAGAACTCTTCAAACTGGCTTAGATAGTCAATGATGCGGGCTGCTGGAGGAAATATGATATAAACGAGAAAAATCGAGCTTACAATTAAGCGACATACCAAAGGCGGGGAGTAATTTTGGGCAGCGAGTTGATGTGGAAGCTCAATGAAGAGCAGAGTGTGCTCTCTAAACATGTAAGAAGATGTTTGGTTCTATGTATGTGGCGCCTATGACCTGGCTTCATGCATTGGTATTACGCAGAGGTGGTCAAGTGGATCTTCCTCATACAGCAAACCATAGGAGGAAATGTGGTGGCTCGCTGCACTTTGTCTATAAGCAGCGCAAAAATCCGCTCCAGTGAAATATGTAAACTACGAAATTGGAGGCATTAGGTGAACTTAAGGCAAGAACTTTTGGGCATAGCACGGTAAGCAAGGGAATGGAGAATGAAATAGAACCAATCTACCCAGGCTTCATATGGAAAAGAAAAAGAAAATGCTCTTAGAAGCAGCGATGCAGTAGATAAGGTGGCTGCAGGAAATCAGTTGCCAATATACGACCTTGTTGGCGAGATTTCTAAAAGTGTCATTCGTCTCGCAGACGAACCAGCACAGGAAATACGAGAATCGGTAAAAGCGCATTGTCATTGTAAAGCAAAGGCGAAAGAAAGATTGAAGGAGTTAAATTATTCGAGTTAATTCTGTTATTCTTTCTCCATCCTAACAAGTTGATTATAGAATACCAATTTGGGATTTGTGGAACCGTAAGTCAAACGAATTAGTAACGTAGTTGAGAGATCAATCAACTGGAAGGAGTATTGCTGTGTAATATTTCCTTATACTACACAAACTCATTTACAACGCAATAATGAAGCCAGTTTATACGAGGTGTGACAATTAAGAGACGAGCACCACGAACACACGTTTACTCAACACGACGCAACAGGCGAACTAAACAAGCTAGAGCGATGGCAAACATATCAATGGAGAGGAGAAGGATGCTGGGAGAAGCGAAAGGGATTTTCAAGGTCGCAGGATTGCCACAATCGCGGCAATAGAATCACTCTCTTTACTTAATTGTCACACCTCGTAGGTATGGTAATCAACATTGAGGCATGACCTGCGCCGGTGGGTTAGGTTGCCGAAAGGTTGATAATCTTTAACCCGATAAAATCCAGGTCACTTCGGAGCGTGCGGGGCTGTCGTAAGAGTTTGCAATGAGACTCCACATTAACGACCTCTTTGCCTGCCACCTAAAAACCAACTCATCTTACACTCCTTTCCTTCTGGTCTAAACCCGTCAAAACAACTCGTTTATTGTCCTCGTTTACGTACACTGATCTAGCCTGGAGCCCGTCAAAAGAACTCGTTTATTGTCCTCGTTCACGTAGACTGATCTAGCCTGCTCCTAAGCGGGTTTAGGAAACCACTACAACAACAACAACCTGTGCTACTAATATTGAGCAAATTCAGAGGTTCCAGGTGAAAAATCTAAAATGTAATAAGAGGTGCACTATGGTACGTCCGCACTGCTATTCTACTGGTTAAGTCATCCCATCTCAGAAGAGAGCGCCATAATTTGAAAAGTACTCTGATATAACCCGAGCTAGAATGTTTTTTGTTTAATTTTAAAATTTAAAATTCTTGCTCCACCCTGACTATAACATATACAGGGTGTACAAAAATTAGCGAAAGATTTAAATTTGTTGCCATTCTTGTAGTAAAGTGTTGCCAATCCTAAGAAAAAAAAACCAATCGACAGCTGAGAGTTTCGGTGTAGTAAAAATGGAGTGTTAAACGATAGAACCAATAATCTTCAGTTTCGAAAATTTTAGACAAAATATGGTCGGAATAGTGCTTTAAGTTCGTCAACTGTAAAGAGATTAAATGAAAAATTCCGAAAGAAAATATTCGTTGGAGGCGTCAAACAAACTGGTCGTCCAAAAACAAGCCGTTGAAATGACTGACGGTACCAATGCAGGAGCCACAAGTCGGCTTCGTTAACAAGAATTGAACGATTGAATGATTGAAACAATGACTTATTTTTTACAGATTTGAGACTTTGGTCAAAACTTCGTCAAAAAAACATCTAAGAAATGAAATTTTGTAAACTTCATCATATAGCCCGCTCTAACCAATTTTTCAGATATGACACTGGCAGGCCTATTTTCATTGTTACCGGTAAAATAAATTTTGTCACTTTTTTTAACACGCGAATTTAAATTTGGTATTCTGGGGAACTGGTTAGAATGTTTGAAAAGTCTTTGGAAGTACTGCTTTTTTCGTCCTTGTCAAATTACATTTGCCAGTTGGTAAAGTAAAAAAGGAGAATATTTACATCGAAATGGAAGACGGTGCACAACAAAATAAATCACTTTTATTTATTTGTTCATTAAATCAAATGTTTCAACTTAATTTTGAAAATATGCCTAAACGAAAAAAAAGAACCTGAATTAAAACGCTATCCTCCGAATGAAAAGGGTCATTTGTTTTTCGCAAACTTCTTAGCAAGCGCCTTTTTACACTTCGTTCTTCATCTTCAATGAATTCCTAAAATATATCAATTTTGGCTTTTATTTTTTCACAAGTTAACAATACAAAATCGAACAGCTGATTGTTTGTTAACTCCTATTTCGCTGGTAACAAAATTTACAGGGTGACAATGAAGTCAGAATACGAAATAGCAACAAAATCTACTGCATGGTAAGTTTTAATACCAAAGTAAATTTTGTTACCACGACAGAATAGGCCTGTGAATATAAAATCCTAAAATTAAATACCCTAAATTTGAGATGGTCATGAGAGGTATGACCAATGTCAGCTCTTATTTATTGTTTTTAGTTACACATGGTTTATGCGGATTTATTTATGTAATTTTAGATCAATATAGTTAAATATAAAATGATAAGAAGACTAAAAAGCACACAGGACGAAACAGCTTATAACATACAAGCTCTCTTATTATAAAGTGACAAACCAATGTAGACCAAGCGACCAATATCGCTAGGTATGCGACTACTGGAGGGTTAATTTAAAAAAAAAAAAATTAAAAACAATTTTGCAGTAAACGATTTTCAAATATAATATATGTAGTAAATGGTATATAATAACTAAGCAAAAGTATTAAATTTATCTTTAATGAGATTGTTCGCCCAATGATTTGCATATTACGGCAAATGACACAAACATACGAAGTTAATTTTAACATACTTTTAGGCGCCTGCTATGGAATGGCACATCATGCATGTTTGATGATGTAAACGCCACTACTGTTTGTTGTCCGCTTATTTCATATATACACACTATTGTATACATACATGTGCACCCAGCAGCAAAAGGTAAGTACTTAGAAGCGAAGTTGTAAAGTGGAAACTGTGTCATTGATGTCTAGAAATCATCGCTGAAAATTAACACGGCGCTGTCATTGGATATGCAAAGTCTCTTATTTTCATTTCCAAACAACATTAGAAGTAAATGAGTTGTTCATTTGTGTTTTCTTTCTCATATTACAACTTTACTACTACCTTTACCACGAAGCGAGCATTTCAGGTACCTACATACATATTTATCGCATGCTAGAGAATACTAATTGGTATATTTATATTTTATTACAAGGATATTTAACATACTTTGTTTAATATTTGAATTTCGCAGACTATGGATTGGGCAGATCACACTTAGATTTGAGTTTAGTTGATGCGGTTGCTGGGCAAACCCCAGCACACTTAGGCCAATAGGCCCATTGTGCTGCTGCTGTGGCTTCTGCCTGCACCTTCTCAAATGATCGAATATTAGTGAAATTGTCCGTTGCTTTATAAGTTCGCGAATAAAAATTCTAAATGCTTTCAGTTATTATCACAAGAATAAAACCTTTTCAAATAGAAACACACGAAGCCACAGAAAGACTACTAAAAAGGCGGCGTCGGCCGGCGCTTGAAGATCTTTTTGCATCTGCCTCACAAATACGAGCTGCAATACAGGAGAAATATGGCGTGAACATTACCAGAGGACTACCAGAGAGCGGCTTTTGAAAACAACCTTCGATGATGCTAAAGTTTAAAAAAGCCAAAAACTAAAAAAAACAATCGAAAGGCGCGATTGAAATTGGTCAGATTACATAATGATTCTCCTCTTTCTTTCTGGAGTTCTGTAGTTTGGAGTGACGAATCTAAATTCAACTTTTATGAGCCTGATGGAGGAACTTAGTATATGCGACGCCCTCCAAATAAAAAAACTGTACCTGAAGTGCACCAGGAGGACGTTTAAGTTGGTCAAAAGCTGAAAAATTTTCTGCTTTCGCTGTTTTTTATGTGGGTTTGCTTTCCGCAGCATGGTGTTACTCCAGAACTTGCTTGGAAGAGCATCTTCCACAGTTTTTGGAAGACTTACCGTTATCTCTATACAACAACGCAGTTTTTCAACAGGACAATGCGCCCTGCAACATGTCGAGGTTTGCGATCCAGGCTCTACAAAGCCAGGAAATATGATCGCTGAATTGCTCTGCTCAGAGCCGCTATTATGTTTTTCTTTAATTTGTTCCATTCAACATTATTTAAAAAATGTTTTTGTGTACATTCAATTCTTTCTCGATTTTATAATTTTAGTGTTGGCGTTGTTGTTGTTGTTGTTGTTGTAACTGCAAAAAATATTCCCAAAAGTAATTTTTGGGGAATGTTGCGGAAGTGACAGTCCTTGGTCGTATAAAAAACCGGTTCGTTCTTCTTGAACCCCTAACCCGCAGGGGTCGAGTTTTAGTCGACATGGTGGGTTGCGCTAGTTAATGTGTTACCCCTGTATGTATTCCGACCTTAAAGATACAGAAAACAACGGATTTCATCCGGCCAAGAGCTGTCAGTTTTACGGTTACCCGCTGGTGGAAGCAGAGGAAGGGGAGGACCTTCACTCTGTTTGAAAGGATCAGGTAGAGAAGGACCCGATTTCCCTTGGTATTTCCAACTCGCGTCAAACAGCGAAAAGAAGATATGAAGGGCGCGCCATAATAGATTCGGTAATAAACGCGTATAAAGAACAAGAAGAAGAACTCCATTTATGTCATACAGAGTGTAAAAGTACGGTAAAGTAAAAATAAAATTTTGGAAAATCAACGGACTTAGAAAAAGTACTTTTATTTTGCAATGGGAAACGGAGCCTCCCAAATCTATATCACAAAGGGAAAAATTAAAAACACAGACAATAACATTTGAAATTATTATTTTTTTAAGTCATAAAATCAACGAGTACAAAGACATTTGAGTCATGACTTTTTGCTGACGACATAGGAATGAAAATTGCGTAATCACACGGACCACACGCAGCGACCGCGACACAGCCGCGACGGTGATAAGAATATTCAAATTGATAACCCACAATGTCTTTGACATGCATTTAAGGTCTTGAGCTGCAGAAAAGAGTGAAATTGGACTACGAAAATATTTACGAAAATTCTTCTAAAAGTTCAACGCTGATGCCATAAATGTTCATTATGGCGGAAAGATAAACGACAAGACATTAAATTCACAATGACAAAAACAAAAGTATAAAAACTTACATATGCACATGACTTTTATTTTAAATAATAATTAAACTTTTTTCTATATGTATGGATCAACTACTGTCCGTTCAGTCCGTTCAGTATAAAAGCTCGGAGCTCAGCTGCAGCAATCAACAGTTTCTGTCGTGCACTGAAGTTAGCTCGCTTAAGTCCTTTGCACTAAACACAATTCAATAGTAAAATAAAAGAAAAAAATGAAAAGTTTCATCCTTTCGCTGTTCTTCGTGTTCAGCGTCGTAACAGCTGGAGTGACGAATAATCGCAACATACTAAGAGAGTCTGGCCTACAAAGCAATGTGAATGATGTTGCAAATAACGGTAATGATAACTAAGTGAATTTTAGCATTCTCCTAAGAAAAAGAAAGAGAGAGAGAGAGAGAGAGAGAGAGAGAGAGAGTTGCCTTTATGTCTAGATTCTATAAACTTTCTTTAAATATTTTTCAGGAGTTCAGCGCATTTCTCAAATGACACATGAAGAGCTGCTGCACCAAAAGTTCCTGCTTGATATTCTCCAAGATGTGAACGACCAAAAAGTCAGTGAGGACATCGTGCAAGGCCCGGTCTCACAGTACGACCAACTTATCAACGATCAGACGCGCTATAACGGGGTATATATATATTTTGGCATCATATCATACAAAAATCTCACCCCTTCTTGAACACACTTTCCTTCTTACTCTCTTCCAGGTTATCGACGATCTCATGGCTAACGTGTTGGAATTAAGTCGCAATCAACAGTTGTTGAGTAAAGCCGAGACTTTTACCATCGCCAATGACGAACATGTGCGTCAAATGGTTGGACTTTATCGTGTACTCGTACGTTCGTGCGACTGGGATACTCTCCAAAGGAATTTAATTCACGCCCGACTCCATGTGAATGGTGTTTTATTGGTGAACTCGTTGCTGCTTGCCATACGCGATCGCGAGGACACACAAAATTTAATTATGCCTGGCATACATGAGATTTTGCCTGAGTTGTACCTTGATGAGGATGTACTACGTCGCGCTCAAGACATTCACTTGAACCAATTAATTTCCACCAGTGAGACCGTGAGCAGAAAAACCCAACGCCCGAGTCTATTCGAAATGATTGGTATAAATAAATTGTGGAATAGAAATGCCAATGGGGTGGATACATTGGACCGGAGGGAGCTGTGGATGCCCTGGCGCGAAATGCATAATGAGCTAGCGATGCGTAGAATCGGCGGCACAAGCGCGCAAATGAAGATCACAAGACGGAATGATGATGATCGCATTGTTTTGCCGGTTACTCTCCCCTCGAGTAGTTTGCGCAAAGAAAAGGAGGCTCGATTACTAACGAAAGACGTTGGACTCCAGTCTTTTCTGCAAAACTTGGTTAATGATTTGTGCTTGACACGAAATGAAGCGACATTAGAAAATAGACAGCGCAGCAGTAGAGCACAATTTGCGAGAGTTGGTTTGGAACGAAATGTTGGTTCAATGTTAGAGAGTGGCATCCGCGTAAACCAACAACAAATGGAAGAACAGCGCTTGAGAGACCGCACGGACGGACTTATTAATAATGAACGTATAAGTGGGGATAATGATGTTATTTCGAACCCATCGAGGCGTCAAAGTGGTTCCACTGCAAACGATAACATTCGCATTAGGAATGAGAATGTTTGGCGCAGTAAGAGTATGAAGCAAAGTGAGGAACAACTGCCAACAACTACGGCTGACGATGAACGTTTACTGCATGTCAACCGGAATCGTCAACGTGCTGCAGCCATCAACCAAATGCACTTTAGAGGCGAGCAATCGAATGAGGAATGGAGTTCGGACAACAGCGCAGGAGTGAACGACCGTTGGGTACGCGTTGATATGGGTGAAGGCAGACGTACTAACTTCATGAATTCAATCATTGATCCACATGTGGGTTTGCATAATGATTATAATGTCGTTGACGAAGAGCCTCATAAATCAGCACAGCACATGGATATGGGCACTGGCATGCCAATGGATTGGAACAGGCAAATGGCAATGCATCGTCAGAGAGTAAGAAAAATAAGCGAGATTCAAGGAATTAATGGCCAGAACTGGAGAGAAGCTGATCAGCGGAGAAGTGATATCGACTCAGACTTGCCAGACATTGATATTAAAGATGAACGTCTATTGCACGTCGGTCGTAGAAGGCTGAACCAGTTACGTAAATCAGACAAGCAAAACCAAAGTTCAGGTGAGGATGATCGCGATGACGACGACGAATCACAGCGACGGGAAAATCAATACTGGAGTGAACATCAAGGCTGGTTGAACTCTATGCAACAACAACAACGCATAAGCATGCAAGAAACAGTAAATGATGACCGAATTATGGCGCGTGGAATGGGAAATATTGGTATTGCTGTGGGCCAAGGATATAATAGGCAAAGTGGCGTAGAACACAATGATGAAAACGTACGCAACATTCTTACTGGACAATGGGGAAACGATCGAGCTCGCGGTGAGATGAACCAGTGGGCGAACAATGGAAAACGCCAGCAGGTTAACCGATGGTACAACGAACGTGACGCGGATATGCAAGATGTTAACCACAGAATCGGCTCTGATATATGGCGGCACCGCTCAGCCCGTAGTGTGCATGGCGTTGATGCTGTTTATGCTGCGGGCCAAGAAGAACGAGTTGGGGAGCTAATTTTGCACAATCTTCAGCAGTTAGTGGCTCGTATCAACATGGAACATATCGCCTTGAATAATCAGGATTATACCACATCACGCATCAACAATCCACGTCTCGCAAATGCAGCAGACGAACGGTTGGCTCTGCGCCTCAATGAACGACGTATGAATGCGCGTCAAAACCGGATGCTGCTCGACAAAGTCTCCGATATTGAAAATCGCTTGCAAGCGGTCATTCGAAGTGTAGACGCCGATCAAACCAAGGATGGTGGTGATGTTAATCGCTTGATTGGTGATGTGCTCATCGGCCGAGGAATGGCCAATGCAAATGTAGATCTCTTAAATATTTTGTCCGAAGTTATCAGTCAAAATGGGGGCTTACGTGGCGGCATACAACAACTCAGCCAAATTTCTATAGACATTGAAGATCCAGTCGTTATGCACTTGCTTCGCCGCATAGTACACATGGCCGATGTACAGCGCCAACGGCAATTGGGAGGCTATCGTAGGGAAGATCTTGAAATGGACGGCATAAAAATCAATGACGTTAAAGTTGATAAGTTACGTACTTACGTTGACACTGACGATGTGGATCTCATTAATGCACTCGACGCAAGTGTCATGCTCAAAGCAAAACGTAACAGCGTTCTTTCGCAACGCATGATTGTCGCTCGTCAACAGCGTCTCAACCACCAAACGTTCACCATTAACATTGATGTCACCTCCGATCGGAACCAACGTGCCGTTGTACGCACTCTTCTCGGCCCGAAAGAAGATGTCAGTGATGTGGCAAGCCAACTAAATGAACAACGTCAGAATTTCGTCTTATTGGATACGCAGATCGTAGATCTTCGCAGTGGCCGCAATGTGATCAAGCGTAAATCACAAGATATCGACTGGACGGCACGTGATACCACACCTCTCACCGAAATCTATAAACGTGTAATGAACGCACTCAATGGGCAACTAGAGATTAGTAAGGATAAGGTACAGGGACAAAATTGTCACTTCCCTCATCGTCTACTGCTGCCACGCGGTAGACCCGAAGGTCTGCCAATGCAAATTTTAGTCATAATAACACCCGTGGAGAGTGAAGGTGGTGAAGAGATAGAGGAAGCTAACAGAGTTTGTGGTATGGGAATCAGTAATCTGAATTTGGATAACCAACCTCTGGGCTTTCCGCTAGATCGCCCCATCGATGATGTGCAGCAGGCGATGTCATTACCCAATGTGCGTTTAATGGATGTACAACTGTTTCACAGCAAACAGTTAGTTGCCGACGACTTCTTTTGAGCTTGGAGATTAGGAAAACAAAAACACTCTTTTTTGTCCTCTGTCTTGAAATAATTGTGATCTTTTTGATAATAATAAATTTTTAATGTATTTAGCAAATTAAATTTAATTTTCTATTTATTGTTTTTTGTTTTATAACGAATGGAGGTTCCCAGAGTTTTTAGTCGCCTTCGGCTTGGTAGATGTTAGCCTCGCCTGGCATGAGCTCGCATGCCCATGGTACAAGTACAACTTTCCTACAGAAACAAGATAGATCCTAGACAATGATAGGAGAGAAAATCGTTGAACATTGGCATCCACCTACCTGGAAACTCACCAGTACCACCGTGTTTCCCACACACCTCAAGATCTACGCAGTTACAGAACAGCTTGGAATTATTCAAGTTTTGGTTCAGGATAACTTTTGAAGCCAGGGTAAAGTATAACTATATTTAAATGACATTAGGTAGCAACGGTCTCAAGGAACTCAGGCCCATATTGTTTATGTTGACCTAAATGTGGTTAGGTCGCCGAAGGGTACCCGCGTGACACTGGCATAGCTTAGGTCTGAATATTGTAGCAGGTTAAACTCCAACCTATCCAGTCTCGGCCCCAACATACTCAACGTATGTCCAGCAAGTGAAGAGTCTTCGCACGACACTAACCACCTCTTCACATGCCACCTTAAGCCGACATATATGACTCCCCTCTGCCTCTGGTCCGATTCCGTCGAAACAGCACGTTTCCTGGATCTCCCGTTAGATGACCTAGGTGACTGAGATTGATGTTTAAACCTGCCTCTAAGCGGGGTTAGTGAAGCGGCAAACTACAACAACAATCTCAGGCCCATAAACCTAATTTTATTAAAGGAAAAACTTCTCAACTAAAGGGTATTCTGCTTAGTTGCCTGCACGTAGAGCGAGCTTTCAAAATGATATTACTTGAGTGTATTAAATTGGCTTTTGAGGTCATAGAGGCAAACGTCTCACTAGGAGGTTATCAGGCGTTCCCTTACGTGAGCAGAGGAACACCTTAAGATGGCGACATCTCTTCCATGCTCTGATATTTTACGGTTAACTCGCTTCTGACCGGAATTGGGACGAGGTAAGAATCATTGCATACTCCGTTATGAACCGTCAAATGAGATAGAACTTGTTATATTCACTAGGAAATCTACTTTTACCTAAACCTTGAAACCAATCCAAAATTTCTAGATAGGCATGAACAAAAAATTAAACTGAAAAGCCAACATACTAAGCAGTCTACAGGAAGTTTACACTTCTCTCCGGGAAGCAGATCAGGAATCGATCTACTCAAACAAATTTTGACTGCTCTTATCTCCGGGAAGTGAACTGAACTTTTGAAATTCGGTACATAAGTGGCTTTTTGATTAGATTTAAAGGAAGACTACACTACTCTACGGAAAGTTGAAATAATGATATGATAAAAAGATAACCCTAGATTAATTTTTCATACATTCAATGTGTGTGCCCCAGCAAAGCGTTACAGGTACACCCAGTATTATACAGAATACTGTGCCAAGCCTGATGAACTCATTCTACCATCGACGCCCAAGAAAAACCTTCACAGTTCAAAGATCATCTCTGCATATGATGGTACCAGGTGGGTGCGGAGTACTATAAGTTGAGCCCACAACGACTAAAAGGCCACCACAAGGTGATTTTGCAACATGTAACGCTCGACCTCATATGACTGTAATGGTGAAAAACTACCTGGAAACACTAAAATGGAAGAATTTACCTTGCCTGCCGTGCTCTGCAGACTCCTTTCGACTACTTTCTTTGAATGATGATTTTTTTTACAATAAAAACCACTTTTTTGAGCACATAAAAAAGAAACGGATTAATTTGTATTTCTTTTAAATTTTTTAAAAGTATTTCAGAATTTCTCGGCAGAAATTGAGGTGTACGAGGTGTGCTCAAAAATATCGCGAATTTTGAATTTTCGCGGGCTACGTATAATGGAATTTCGATTTTTTTGTGGCGTTATGTTGGTACTCATCTCTGTCACTTATGCCGACAAGCTCGGCCATTTTGAATGTTCACTTAATTGTTGACAGCTGCTTTGCTTGCACTGTGGCATACGGACAAGCTGCCTTGGACCGAAGCAACGTTTATCGGTGGTACAAAATGTTCTCAGAAGACCGAGAAGATGTGAACGACGAGGAGCGTGCCGGACGCCCGAGCACTTCAACAACAGACGAAAAAATTAATTGCAGGGGCGTGGTGCATCATGAGTTCTTGCCACAGGGTAGAACGGTCAATAAGGAATATTACCCGCAAGTTATGCGCAATTTGCGCTAAGCAATCCGCCAGAAACGTTCGGATTTGTGGACGAACAAAAATTGGATTTTGCACCACGATAACGCCCCTGCTCACAGGTCGTTGCTTGTGCGTGACTTTTTGGCCAAAAACAACACACTAATGATGCCGCAGCCACTGTATTCCCCAGATCTGGCCCCTGAAGAGGCCCATGAAAGGACGACGTTACGCTACCATTGACGAGATAAAGACGGCATCGAAGGAGAAGCTGAACAAGATAAAAAAAAATGATTTTTTGAAGTGCTTCGAAGATTGGAAAAACCGTTGGCACAAGTGTATAATATCTCATGGGGATTACTTTGAAGGGGACAAAATAGATATTCATGAATAAATAAATAATTTTTGAAAAAACACAAAATTCGCGATATTTTTTAAACATACCTCGTAGGTGTTTCAACTTTCTAAAATTATGTATCGAATAAAAAATAAATATTTATTTAATTTGGTCTATTTTACATATTATATTTTATATTATTATAGATATTCATTTTTACTGGCTTTTTCATCCTTTGGAACTTTCACAAATTGTTAGCCGTCACAATTAAAAAAACTCAAGAAGTGTTTTATACCAGGTTTAGACCGACATGGAAAACACTTTTAAAAACGAGTTTTGTGGATTATGGACTCGTGGGTTTTTGTACCGACTTTTAGTATTTGGGCTGACATATCTCACAGCCTTCAATTATATTCATATAAGAAAGTATAGATGACAACAGTAATTTGTTACATTAAGAATTGGCGCTGAAAAAATAATACCAATAAAAGCTGAAATATTTTTTTTAATTAAGTGAATAATAGGAAGGCAATTCAAAATTCCTTGTAGCAATTTTTTCATTTGAAAAATATTGGAGCATTTTAAATGTGCACAGAGGATTGGAAAACTTTTTTTTTTGTATAGAAATTCTTTTTGATATTCTCAATTTTATAACAAAGCGCATGAAGCCTGCGATGAGTAATTATTTCATTATGCCACAGGTGTATCGAAAGTCATGGGTCATCTTGTGTACTTTTAAGTACGATAATTCGATAACTTGCTTATAAACGACAAAATTTGCCTTTCACCGTGATAAAAATGTTGCATAAACCAGTGGGTTTTTAAGTGTTATTCAGCGAAAACTGGTTTAATGTATTTTCCTTTGGCAGGTTTCATAAGCAGAAATGCAAGTTTTAGTGCGAAAACTACTCTTTTTTTACGAAACTATGTTTTCGGAACTTTCGAACACGGTTTTAGAAAATATATTTCTACCAGTGATACTTCTGCCGCTACGTTCAGTAGTTTGAGGATTAGTTGAGAAAAATATGTAATACTTCACTTGGCTAAATCAAGCTAAAAACAACTAAACAAAGAAAATTCATAATTAAATAAATAATTTTCCAGGTAAGCAACAAAAAAAAAAAAAAATAACAAAAAATGAGCTAATGTCAATGGCACTGCAACTGATCCTTTAATATAATAAAAAAAATATGTGAGTGATTATTTTATTAATTTCTAATGCTTAAAATAGAGTTCAGTTCATAAAAATATGAATAACGCTCCGGAATGGACGAAATCAGCATTCTTGCCATATTTTCTTTTGCTGATAAGCAAGTATTAAGAAGAAAAAAAATAAAAAACAATTAAAGCGAGCGGAGTTCATTCTTATCAGTAGAATTAAGTACAAATAAATTTTTTATTAATATAAATATGTATTTTTAATTGATAATTATAAACAAAATAATTTAATTGTATTAACACATTAATGTATTTATTTTGTTTTTGAAAAATTAAATATTTGCTGCACAATAAAAAAGCACAATCGCCGCCAGTTTCGTTTCTAGAAGTCATTATTTTAACACAGGCTTGCCACTGGGGGTAATGCCTTTGAAATAATCTCAATCTCAATTTTTATTCATAATCTTAAGCGCTAAAGCATGAGAAATTCTTTGGCTAGATGAGATTTTAAAATTAAGAAAATATGCAGAGCAAAAATTCTTAAATCTCTTTAAATTTTTTATATGATTATGAAATCAATTTGAAGTATTTGCAAATTTATTATTGGGTTGCCCAAAAAGTAATTGCGGATTTTTTAAAAGAAAGTAAATGAATTTTTAACAAAACTTAGAATGAACTTTAATCAAATTTATAATTGCCAATTTGTTCGATAACCTTTTGCCATCTTCCTGGCAAATTTAGTGTTCCACGCTCATAGAACTTCTGGCCTTTATCTGCAAAAAACTGAACCAAGTGCGATTTTATAGCCTCATCATTGCCGAAAGTTTTACCATTTCAGGAGTTCTGCAAAGATCGAAATAAATGGTAGTCTGATGGTGCAAGGTCAGGGCTATATGGTGGATGCATCAAAAGTTCCCAGCCAAGCTCACTCAGTCTTTGGCGAGTGACCAAAGATGTGTGCGGTCTAGCTTTGTCCTGGTGGAATATAACACCTTTACGATTGACCAATTCTGGTCGCTTCTCCTTGAAGGCTGTATTCAATTTGTCCAATTGTTGACAGTAAACATCCGAATTAATCGTTTGGTTCCTTGGAAGCAGCTCCAAATATACGACACCATTCCAATCCCACCAAAACGACAGCATAACCTTCTTTTGGTGGATATCAGCCTTTGAAGTGGTTTGAGCTGGTTCACCATACCTGGACCATGATCGTTTTCGACTAACGTTGTTGTAAACAATCCATTTTTCATCTCCAGTTATGATTCGTTTTTAAAACGGATCGATTTCATTGCGTTTAAGGTGCATATCACAAGCGTTGATTCGATGTGTTAAATGAATTTCTTTCAATACA